ACAATTATTTATCAATTAGTTCAAGAAAAACAACAAATTGTAAAAGATAAATTCGAATATCAAAGAAAAATGTTACTTTTCAATGCAACTGACCATCTGTTACTTCAAAATTTCATTGATATTGAACCAAACAGTAGACATGTGAGCCTATCAACTATAATATTTACTCTGATAAAATCATATATCTCTCCTTTGAATTTATTACAGATAACATGGGCAAGGCATATATGGAAAGCAACAAAGGATCAACTGATAATAGAAGAAGATGTTGCTTTGTTACAACATCGTCTTATATCTACAACATCAATACCAACATCTGATTTACTTCATAAAATCATAAATAATATTAATACAAATATTCACAAACTCAATAATCCATCAACCGACACAACAACAACTTGTACTTCATCGAACACCATTGAAACACTGATAACTTTGAAGAAAGATATTATTCAACAAGCTATCTTTATCCATCAGAAAAAACATGAACAAATACAAACAATTATACATACTGAACAGAAAAAATTTCTCGTTGAAAATAGATATATGGAATCAACATCTGAATATCAGAAACGCGTGAATGAAGCTATCGAACAACGTCGACAACATATGATCGAACGTGCAAACTATGCGAAACAATTCCTTTTATCAGCATCATTCAATCTAACAGATCGTCCACCATCAACGAACGATTCGTAGGAGTAACTTCAAAACTCAACATACACCTGAACTTTCTTCCAAAATACATCTTATTTCATTCAATCCGTTCTGAGCTCTTAGCCATTTTTTATATTAAATTCAGACGTGCTTACGCCTTCTTACGTTTATTTTACTTTTAGATATATGAGTCAAATTCAGAAACAACATCAATTAAAAAGAATTATTTCTTATTCAAATACTGTCTATCAAATAACAGTGATAATGTTCCACAGCATACAAATCTTCCAATTTTCAATCCCATGATATCATACAATAACCAAAACTTCTAGTCTCTTCCCTTTCACAAAATTTCCTCATGAGTTAAATAACTTTTGATTAAATATTATTATTTTGATGTTTTTACATTGAAATAATCATATAAAATCAGAATTTTGAGTCTTGAGCCATCTGATAACGAACTATGACAAGTTCGAAATCGATCATGGTAGTAATATCTCACTCTACTAGAGATAAAGTGCCATTATAGAGTAAAATTAGCTATTATGGCTAGTTTTGCTTTATAACAGTGTATCTAGCTTAGATTTGATTATTTGATATTATTTTATTATCAAAATAATGTCTTTTAATCGATTTTAAGGTTTCAACCATTTGAAAACGAACTATAACAAGTTCGAAATCGATCATGGTAGTAATATCTCACCCTCACCTTCAATACAAAAAAAAAAACTAATTAGTCTCGTTTATTAAAGAATATTTTGATTAAATCAACCTCTTCTCCTATGTATATGTAACATGTGCTCTTTTTTTTTTTGTTTTTTTTGTTTCTTCTGTTTTCTTTGTTTTTCATTTCTTATCTTTTTCCGTTCTTATATATAGGCGACTACTCGCTTTCATTATCTTACTTACATGTATATTTGGCCACGTGGACCTTTTGTTCTTCCCTTTTCTATTTTTTTCCTCACGCAATATTTTCGCATTGTTTTTGGTATATTTAATTATACAATTTACATTTCGTTTATTACTATATTTTGTTCATGGTTGTTATCGATATTCTCATTTAAATTTTACACATACGTCACGTTTGCCTTTATCGTCTCATTATTTTTCTTAAACAGGTTCACTATTCTACATATCATTAATGTAAATGGTTACTACAATGTCGACTAATCTTACATAATATTACACCATCTCGTTTAAATTTAATACATCATCTTACTATCGTTTATATCTACTCAATCTTCAACATCTTTTTATTCCTGTTTCGTATGAGTTTTTAAAGATCATACCATATACGGTCTGTATATATTTCTTTCATTATCTTCGATGCAGAATTCAAGTTAGAATATAAAGGAAAAATTTAATCAATTTTATATAGTCTAAGAAATTCATTACTGAAGTTTGTGAAGTTTATGACATTTTCATTAGTTTCATTGTCACATTTCTTGAAGGAAACATCGTTTATTACGAGCTTTATTGCTGGTTATTATCCATAGTTAGTTCATTTTTAGACACTTTTCTCTTTTTTCTCACACTCTAGTACCTACAGATGTTACATACATAACAAATAAAGATTCCCTTGACGTTTTTTAAAAAAGAAACGATAAAAATAAAAAAAACTGATGAAATAATAACTAAATTCAAATGAAATTCACATTTATATTTGATATTTCCTATTATTTTGGTTCTAGTGTAAAGAAAATGGTTTTTTAGATATAATTTAATATTGATTGTATGGCTACTAATAGCGAAATATCTATCATACGCACTGTTCATATTGATAACAATGAACAAAATAATGATACATCACATGTA